AGGAAGAATATACCCTGTTCAGAAATCTTATTTAAAAGTCTATTCCCTTATTACATGACAAACAAGCTTTCAAAATAAGAGGTGAGTGGACTTAATTGATGGAAAGGCCTGGTGAGTGCCTGGGGAAGGAAAGGTTTTCAAGCGCATCAGAATTACCAAAATGTTGAAAATGGATCTCACAGTGACTTACACTCTTAGGGACTTAAGTTATCCCAATTTTTGGGAGAAAGTAAAATTGATATTATTAAGCACACAGTAAGTTGCACAACATATGTGCTTATATATATTAAAAAATATTTTCTAGGAGTTGTTGGAAAAGCAATCATTTGCGGTTCTTTTTTCAATGGTAAGTCATGCATAACATAAAGAAAAGGAAGGGGAGGTGTGTAAAATCAACACACCTCTAACCAGTGCAACTTGTTATAGCATACTGCTTAGGGCACACAGGATTTTAGAATCAATTATTTGCGTTAATAACAAAAGGAATTTAAGATGTCTACAATTTAACATAGATTTAGCTAGGCTTTTGTGGCTAATGATGTGGGTATTCAAAACACATAGAACAAAAGCATGCATGCCCAATTATTTAAGAACTAACTTTGCTCTAAATAGAATTTTCCAAATACATTAGCAAAATATATAATTTTATAACTTATTTCTGACTATGTCCCAAAGTTTTGTAATGAAAAGAAAATGAGGAGTAAAAAAGCACAAAACATAAAAGAATGAGTCAAAATCTTTTCTTCTGCTGGCAAATATCCAGAGTGTTCTAATTGGTTCTAGCATAACTGAGATTAGAAACTCTCGGAGATAGTGCAATAAATTGGCCCAGGAGATGAGAAATATAATTCCAACTCATTCCATGGCCATGTGATAACTCTGTTGAGCTCTGCAAGAAGCTTGCTAAGCGTTACGCAATGCATAGCCATACAAAAATCTTTAGTACAGCTGATACTTGATGAGGGAGATTGAATTCAATTAAATATCTTTACATCTGAGTAGGAGGCAACAGGCACATTCTCTTTTCCAAACAGCTCTGGGATGCTGAGTAACGCTGATGGGATGTAAGGATACCGAGCATGAAAGAAATATTTCTGCATTCTTTTTATAGAATGTGAAGAATAACAAAGTTAGTAGTTTAATTTTGTATTCTCTTAAGTCACTGAGTTAATTCTTTTGAGACACACATTGGCACTGAAAAATATACTGTGCCTGTCTGAGTTGGGTGGTAGAAGGAATGAGACTTATTAACATGTAAATAGATTTATCTGAGCACTAAAATGGACATGCTATGTAAACAGCTGTGCCAGAGAAACTGATTTTACCAAGTGGACTCAGAAGACAAAGGATCACCTGATGAAGATGATGAGAGTCAGCTTTCAAAAAAAATTAGAGATTAGGAAGGAAGTGTCACACACCATTTTAGGTAAATGGTGTGCCATCAGAGGAACAGCAATAATTATAGATATCAAAAGAGGCCCTAATTAGGAGAGAAAGGCACATGCAGGAAGGGAGAGCTCAAATTAAAAAAAATACTCAAGAGTGGCAACAAAATGGGAATGTGGAAATTTAGAACATGTTTTCAGTGATTTCACAGAAGTCCGCAGACTGGCGGCACCACTAAATTTTCTGGCATCTGCACAAATATTGCTGCTATCATGTCCCTGAGGAAGGAAGGTGAGAGAAGAGCCTGTAAAGAGACAGAGATCTGGAAAAACCATGCTTGCTGATATCTTGAGGAAAGGAGAGTATGTACATCCAGTGACCATGGGTTACTGTGGTTCCCTTTGTACAAAGAAAGAGCAGATAGAGCTGCAGGAAGCTTGACAGGGCACTAGAGTTCTCTGAGGCCAATGGAAGCACACAGATTTCTGCCATGCCATGAGCCAGGTGCCACAGCCAGGGTGCCTCTGCCAGTGAGTGTTTCATCATGGCGATGGATAAAGGCACTGGTAAATTTGCAGTTGAGTACCTTCCCATCGCAGAAAAGCCATCTAGAAGTTTAGTATCATGCAGTTTAAAGCAAGGACATGCTGAAGTGAAAGTCTTTGTTTTCAAAGGCATATTTTTCCCCTCTAAGAAATATACATGAAACACCCAAGAATGTGAATAGCATGGACCTATGAATATAAATAGCATAAGCAAGAAGGTAAATAAAGTAAACTTGAGGAGCTTCAGGGTCAGGCTTACAGTAGAAATAAAGGGAAGGAAGCATGTCCAATGAAGAAAGATGCAGTTATTCCAGAAGTGGAAAACTGCCAGGCTGAGATTTGCCACAACAGGCATTGGAAGTCTTCAAATGAAAAGGCCTGGGAAGCATTGCAATTACTCTGTCTTGCTTCATCTCACATACTGCACACTTTAGAAAGCTAAATGCCTATCACGTGTTTCTTGAATAGCATCCCTCGCCACAGAGTTCCAGAACTGTTTCTAACAAGGAAGCTCAGAAACAGGCTCATATGCTTACTAAATCAACAATTCTGCTTGATTTAAAAAAAAAAGGAAAGAAAACCAAAAAACCCTCAGAAAACTACATTCATAACATCAAATGGGTTTATTCTAGTTCATAAAAATGCTGCATAAGGTCTTCAAAATTAAAAAATAAAGTTCCTGGAAGTAAGCCTAATTTCCGTTTTGTGAAGGCCAATATTTGAAGAACTAAGTTTTTAAGTACATTTGGGGTATTTAGCAGTATTAATCTTTTTCCTTGGTGATTTTTATATTTAATTCTAAAAAACATAGTGACAGCAATATTAGAAGTTAATGGTTAAGGACTCATTCATTAATGTTAGAAGTGTAAGGGTACTTAGTTAAAACAATTCCACAGATTACAGTCTATATGGCAGACTTTAATACTCAACACTCCTATAAAAAGAGCTCCCAGGAAATTGGTCAGAAAATAGAAGAATTTGTTTCACTTTTTGACTTATCATATAGTACTCAATTGTACTTTATAGTTAGACACTTAGACTAGGAAAGCTTTAGTCTTCCAAAATTATCTTTGTTCTTTGGAAGATGTTTTTTTGTCACTAGAAGACTATCTGAATGCTTCTGTAAGGAATGAGAAGAAGGATTAACCCACTTTTGATCATTTGTAATCTGCAAAGCTCTAATATAATGATTTCAATGTTTGCTTTCTTGAACAACATATAGTTTCTTCTACAACTATATTAAGATAGTATCTAGTTTAGAGATTATGAACAGAAAACTTAAAAAATTAACACTAACAGTTTAAGAGGTGAGTGTAATGGGGTAATGGAACTGCCATATGAGTCTATCTGTTTCCCTAGGAATCACACCCAAATGGAGGACTGGCTTACAGTACATTTTTAAACAGGTCATAGACATTGCACAGATTGCCACCATTTCAGACAGTCCCTTGCTAAGTAAATACACAAATCTCAGAACTGAATTTTTGTGCTGTATCACACAAATTTTTGCTTACTGGTCCTTAGGAAAAGTTGAAGGACACAGATATTTCACTATTAGTCACCTACCATTATTAAATATTTCTTATATTCTTTGGTGTCTTTCTGGATTTGGCTATCCTAAATAAAGGTGACTTTCCCCATATTTCTCTTTACCGGATCATGAATACACAAAAAATATTGGCTGTCACATACAGTTATCTGTAACATCAACATATATTTGATCTACTCATTATGTTACTAAAAGATTCATAAATTGAGAAAAAAATCCAAGTTCCTGACATGTATTTGGTCAACAGATTACTGTTTGTATGCAATAACCTATGAGCTAATTTCTACATAACCTTTACTTTTATAGCCAGATGGAAAAAGAAGAACTGATGGCATTTGTGGTAGAAAGAATGCTAACCAGGCATTCATTTTGTTACAGATGTCAAACACAGAGGTGCTTCTACATTATTTCCAGTTTAAAGACTGCAGTGGTTGATTTAAAGTACTGCTATACTTAAAACTAAAAGCTATTTGACTGTGATCTGCGTCAAAGAAAAATGCCATTCTTTGGCTTTCCATTTACAGAAAGATTTAATTATACTTGCAAGGTTCAGGTTTTTTTAGAAGCAGAAAACATTTCCAGATATGTTCTTGGATTCCTGACTGTGCTGCAGCTGTTTAGACAGCTCTGCTCTTGCATACTCAGAAGCCAATATAGCTGAAAGTGGAGGGATTGTCAGTGTCATAAATACTGGTGGGGGGCAAACTTTCTAAACAGATCAACCTTGCTTTCACTCCACAGTCCTCCAATGATTGTGACGTATGGAGCATATCCATCCTGCTCTAGGGATACTAAAGGATCCTGTACCACCTTGCATAGCTGCTCTGAGAAGGTTTTGTGGACATTGCTAAGAAAACTTTCAGGACCCCTTTTGGGTCAGCGATGTCATTCAGGGGCATGGCTGGACATAACCACCAAATTTAAGATCTCTTAGGTACTTGTCTGAAATATTGGCTACTGATCTCAGCAGCATTCCAAACCAGTGTGATACGTGCATGCTTGGCTGTATCTGCTACATACTGCTGGGTAAAAAGCATAGGCATAAGGTAATGGTATACCTTTTAAGCGAAGAAAACAACATTATCTCTAGATTAGTAGTCATCAGTCCTGCTATAAAGAATCACTTAAGAACTGCCAAGAACAGCGAACAATCTTTTTCCCCAACTAGTGTTATTCATTGTTTATTTTGTGAAGCAGTTGATACATGAAAATAGAACTTGATTATTTAAATGCACTGATAATCATCTTTTCCCTTTGTAGCATGACATAAAATACAGCTAGGAGATGTGTTGATTCTCGCAGAAATCAAAAGTAATTTTATTCCATACGTAAGAAGTAGAAAATAGTCACAATTCAGATTTCACAGTTCCTGAGGCAAGCATGGTACCACTGCTTGCATGGCTTGCCTCATGTCACACCCAAGCACTGTGCTGAGACACTACTTTTAAATGTCAATAAGGTTGTGAAAGCAATCTAGGTTAATTGCTGAGAATGAGCAAAACCATCTTTATTCTTGTGGTTTGCAGTTCTAGAAACAAAATCAGAAATGTTTTCTGTTGTAACTGGTTGAGCAGAATAGAGAGTGATGTGGTTTTGTGGTTTCCTTAGTTGTACCAGGAACTAACCAAAATACCCACTGGTCTTCTTGCCTGTTATTCTCTTCATTAGTTTTCTTGAGTCATTACTACACAATACAATATAAAAAGGGGACCTCTAAGACATTCTAAGTCGTTTTTTGTTTGTTTGTTTCTATTTTCATTATATTTAATTTCTCTTTTGCAGTAGACTTCAGGTTTGCACTGTATGGATCGTTCAAATGTCATTGTTGAGTCATAATCCAACATGCATCATAGAACTATAAGATGTTGTTAAACATTAATCTCAGTGCACAGTTTAACAAGATAAAAGCATTAGTTTTCAAACACTTATCTCTTACCCTTATGCTATCTTAGTTTTAATTAAATGGTGACTATGTCTCTTTATGGCCCCTTTTTCATGCAAGTAGGATATCTGAAATAGAAGAAAGGGAATTAAATTAAATTCTGCTCCTGCAAATCATTTTGGTAGAACATATATTTACAGCTGCGTGTCTTAAAATGAACAAGTAAATTGTAGGTGAATTGAAAATTGTTTAATGTTCAAAATATGCTTGGTTAATGAGAGGGTAGTCTTGGAAAGCATCCCTAAGATCTTGCCCTGCTTTATTCTTCCCCAGGCATTTGCTGCTAGTGGCAGGATAACAGACTAACATGAACTGTTGATCTGAACTAATATGGCTTCTGTAGAAGTGAAAGAGAACTTTAAATTTAAGTTGAAAGAAACTAAAGACTCAAGAAGGGGAGTCTGAAGTAAATGCAACTCACTAACTCCTGTCCAAGATACTTCAGAAAGAAATACAAACATGTGAATCTGACCACTACTAAAAGAACTTGAGAAAAGCATTTTAGATAGAAGGCAAAAATGGAAGCAAAGATACCATATCTATGAAGAGCCTGGATTAGACATAATAAAATCTTTTAAGATTATGAATTTAGTTTAGGGTGACACTGCCACTTCCCTTAAGGATCAGAATTTAGTGTTAGATACATAAAAAATTTCTTACTATGTCAAGTCACTCTGAGATAAAGAACTACCAGTCAAACCTCTTGCTATGCCACTCACAGGCATTTGTGAGGGCTAGAGGAGCATCTCCTGTCTATGTGAATGATCTTGTTTTTAGAGTTCTTGTTTAATACTTTCTAATATTACTGTAGCAGGTATTCTTTTCCAGATACCAGTAGGACGATCTAATTTTGGTTCAATTTAAATTTTGTAAGTGAAATGTACCCTCCTATCCCAGTACTGTCTCCTAAATGATCAACATTAGCTCCTGACCATTCTCACGGTCCTGCCTAGTGATTTGACTTTTTCACTGTCTCTTGGTCCTCTCTGCCACCAAAGGGGGTGGTAGAAAGGTATTGTTGCTTACAAATATAGCTTTCACCAGAAACACACCTGGACTGAAGTGCCTTTATTGGGCGATTAAGAAGACTGTAGCCCATCAGCTCTGCTCCCCCAATGAAGAAACAGTCCTGTGGCTGTGGAGAGGCCTCTTCCTGGAATGATGAAGGTTTGGTGAGTTGGCACCACTTCCATGATTAATACAACACTTTCATGAAAAAAATTGACCTCCCAATAGTGCGTAGTGGCTGAGGCAGAAGCACTACCACACACCTCACCAGCCTAGACCAGAAGCTGCACAAAACAAGTCAGACTGCACTGACTCTTCCACACAGACTCCACTTGTAGTGAGCTGTCCTGGCCTTTTTGAAATTGTATACAATACGAACTATGGTTTCTGGGTTTGGTTTTGTATTTTTTTTTTCCTCCTCAGGACGTTTCTCTCTCGTTTTCAGAAAAGAAAATAAACAACACCATTTCTGCAGCTAAAATTCTCTTCATTACTATACAAAAATTAGTTTTCTTCCTCATGCTGAATTCCTGGTCCTGAAACATCATCTCCCTCAAACCTAAGTTAATTTATATTTAAAGTTTTGTTTTGGCTTTCCAGCCTTCTAAAATATTCATTAAAAGGTTTATCTAGTTCTCCAAATTATGTTAGTAAACTAGGACAGTTTATTTGTATTTGTTTGCATAAAATCTTCAGTAAACGAGCAACAAATTAAATTTGATTCATAAATGAACAGTGTCTTTTATGAAGTTAATATGAGTTCATACCTCTCTCTGTTGCAGAGCAAAATTTGACTAACTCATACAGTAAACAGTTTCCACTCACTTTTTTTCATATATACATATTTTAAAGTAGCTCCTTTGCAACTTAATGATGTTAATAAACTTTTATTTGTAAAATTAAGTTAATATGATTTGTTTTTAACCCTTTCATATGCCTTCCTCCACCCTGAAAATCTACAAAATCTTGCTTTTTTAATGTTTGTCATTTTATTCACTTAAACAATTTTTTAAAATTTTGTTTCAGCTCCACCTCTGTTTTCACCTCCTTTCAGTAATGCCTGAGTTCTTTTAATTGCGTGTTTCCATCCCAGCTGCACCTCCTTGTGCTGAGCCTGGCTCAGATGTATGTGGTTAATTGGCTGTGCAGGTGTAACCACTTGGAGTCACCCACTGTTCCAAGTCAACAAGCTTTGTAGAAAGGTCAAACAAATAAGTCCAAAGGGAAAATATGTTTTAGAAGTGGCCATTATAGAAGTATATCAGGATTGTAAAGCTGAATTATTCAAGTGCTGCTTTTGAGTTACTATGTGAACATTTTGTGATCTGACTCCTGTTCCTTCAAGTGATGAAGCACCCTGTAGCACTATGTCTCCTTGAACAAATTTAATTTGATTCCAGTTGTGAATGTTTCAGTCAACTGTGTGGCAGATGCTTCAGACTAGCCACTATGAAACAAAACAACTGTAATTAAAATTTCCACTCCAACATGCCCAGGAATTTGCAAAAGAAAGGTACTGTCAACTTTGGAAGTCAGGCCAGGTGAAAACTGGGTACTGTTCTTTCTTCTTGTTTGTGTAGTCCTTTGTTCTGTACTTCATATCTTAATTATTAAAGAAAAAAAATCCTTTGTTTCAAGCTAAACAAAACTGCAAAGTTATGTACATACAGATCCCTGTTCATTGTTGCTTTCTCTGATTATTTTTTTTTGCGTTATAAGACAAGTAAAAAAGGAGTCGAAGCACTATCAAGTCAGGGGATAGCATAACCAAATGAGAAGTATAATTTATTCCTTTGCTTTGCATGGGTCTAATGCCTGCTACACACAGAATGAAGCAAAGAATCCTCATTGTCTTTCATATAGGGGTCAAACATGCCAATACATGTTAAGACAGTTGTAGAGTACTTGCTGCATAAGGGTAAACAGCAAATAAAAAAGTGGGTAGACTTGCTTGTTTGGTATGTGTGAGGTATAGCATAAACACCCCAGTGCTCACATCAGACACACTTTACTTATTTGCATTTGTTTTCAACTAGATCACTCTGTGCAGATGTGGCTGAAAACACTAGAGTTAATAAAACCTAAACAGTATTATTCAAATACCCTCTCTCTATACAAACACCTGAGAAGGTATCTAAGCATATAATGCATTGCTGTTTCCTAGAATTATTCCTGTAGCACAATTTGTTTGCAGAAGTTCAAAGACTAGTAAAATGCTAAAATAGTTACAGAATTATGGAATCATTGCTCCACTTCCTCCGCCCTTTCTGGATCATAAACCCCTGGCTTTCATTTCAACAAATGTGTGGAAATGATTGCCTATAACGAGAACATGCGGAAGGGTTTGGGCTTGCCCACTCTGAATGAAACTGAATGCAAGAACTTCAAACGTGGTTCTGAGGTGGAACAGCACCTCTTCAATACATTCAGCACTGAGCCAGGCCTGTGGATGCACCCCGCTGCCACTCAAAGGGGTCGCTGTGGCTTGCTTGGAAGGGTGCCCTGGAGTGTGCATCAGTATAGCCATACCTCAGAGTGGTTTGTATTTAGGTACATATATTTAGACATGATGATGACGACTGTAAAATGTAGGTGTTCTAGCTTATGGACTTGTATAGCACACATTATATAACCAAAACTCTTTATTTGGTTTGGTCATTGTCCATTTATATTTTCTGTCTTGATGGATTTTTATCTTAAATACTGTTAACGCTACACTCACTTTGGGCACTAATTACCACAGGAATATATTTTATACAGAACAAATGCACCTTTCCCTAAGCTTTCCTCTTTAGTACAAGGCCTATCCCTCATTTAGCCTTGTTTTTAATACATGTGATGTCATTGTTTAAGAGACTGAACACTTTTCACAATACTGGTGCAATAAAAAGAGGTAGTAGTTCATGTTATCCTAGAGATTTAGAACGCTTTTGAGGTAAGTCTGGATTCCAAATTGATTGAAATCAACTTGAATAAGTAATTTCATCTCACTTTGGATCATGTCTTTAATTTACACACACGCACCCCACTCTGGCAGGACATGGAAAAATCAGGTAGTCCTAAATTCCCCATATATGCTGAGGTCTGTTGGCACTTTTTCCTCGTTGCTCAAGAAAGTAGAATAACTGTGAGGATTTTTTTCCCTCATAACTGGAAGCAACAAATTAAATGCTGGATTGTAAATGATCTTCCTTTGACCTTTGTCTGCAACTATATATCTAACTTTGAGGGGTGTTCTATCACTACATTGCAATAGTGGAAAAATGAGATATAGTAATGGGTGAATGATGCCCAGCCACCAGTTACTATCCTACTCTCATGTCCTCTGCTGGAGTTAAAAGATTAACCCAACACTTGCGTCACTAGGGGGAAAAAAAAGAAAAAGATAAGTATTCTCATTAAATAAACAAGGGAGGAAAATGTTCAGCCCATTATCCTGGAAGCTACATACTACAGGAATTGCAGTCAATGCAGTTTTCAATTTCAGTGTTTTATATATAAAATTTTCATACATAAGATCAGTTTGTACGGCTGAAGTATTGTAATTTTGCATGTTTGCTTCTCTTGAAATCTTTAACCAGTTTTCCTTCTTGTTTCTGTAGGTTATACAGGTCTATGTGACAAAATAAACTTTGACAGAATTCAAAACTTGTTAAATTAACAGTTCTAGATAATATACATCTTCAGAGCAAAAAAGAAATATTATCATAACATTTATGTCTAACTCAAATGCTAACACCTTATACTACAGAAAGGCTGCACAAATACTAAAGTACTTTCAGTTTGGCAAGTGGGACCTGTTGTGGGTTTCCTTCACCCTGAAGCTCTGCTATTTACAGAAACACTCAGCCAGGATTGCTCTATCCCTAGTAAGGAAAGACCTTAAACTAGAGGGCTTGGCTGGAACAGTGCAGGTGTTGATCTGGAGATTATCTCAGCTTCCTCATTCTGTGGTCCTGTGTGATAATGTGGGAGGTGGCAACTACCGAATTATTGTTGGGGTTTGGACAATTTTTTCCTTTTTTTGATGTTCTAAATATAATGTTGACACAATGCTTAT